AGCTTTTAGTGGCGTTTAAAAAACGCCGCTAAAAGTGTCAAAAACGCCGCCAATTCTTTTTGTGACGCTTAGCACCAAACGTCGAGGACGCGGCCGTCGCTATAACTTTATGGCGTTTTAAAAACGTCGTGATATTAGTATAGGCGGCGTTTTAAAAAACGCCGCCAAATGTCCTCCTAACCACGCGCCAAATGTCTCGCGACATTTAGCGACGTTTTTGGAAAAACGCCGTCATATCTTTTTTAAACAAATATGACCGTTAGCCGGTAAGATTTAAGAGGCGTTTGTAGAAACGCCGTCATATTCTTTTTTTTTTTTTTTTGAAAATTGTACTAATTTTTATTTGATTGAATTAAAAAAATACCTGTAGTAATACTGACATATAAAATATTAACTCTCATTCAAATAACAAAAATGAAACATTAATTCAGTTTCTTATTCAATTAATATCCAACTTCCATTCAAATACAATAACTCCCATTGAAATAATAAATGAAGCATAAAATAATCACTTGACAAAAAATAAAAAGCTCAAAAACGGTTTTAGCGTTATAAACCAAACAATGAGTTTGGTCCATTTACATCCAAACTTCCAATACAATGCGCCAACATATGCTTAAAAATAAATAATTAAATTAAATTAAATTAAATGAAAAAAAAAAAGAAGAAAGAAGAAAGCACAGTCTCAATGAACTCAATATGACTGAACTGTATGTATATGATAGCCACGCAAACATAAATTAAAAAATATAATAAACGAAAGTCAACTAGTATTATCCTTCACTCCCTAATAGAAAAAAAAAATCACAGACAAAATAATTTGGAACAGCAAAATTTTAAGACTTCTATGCTGATAAGGTTCCAAGAATATAAGAGAGTCCAAGACCAAGGGGGCTATCATGGATACAATAGTAGGTAACCCTTTTCAGCTATGGAGAAAGTACTGGCTAGCCTGTATTCAATTCTGTTATACAGAGATTTCCCATCTAAATTGTCAATCAATGGTTTTGCAAGTAATCAAAACTCAGGCTGCTGACAGTAGTAAGGGGCCTGCATGACAGTCAAATTAATTGGAATTCATTAGATTTAGATACAGAAGTTGCACGAGGAAACAACGAGGAAACAGGTGGAATAGAATTTAACTTCCATATACAAGATATGAAATTACTGATATACCTTTGAACAATGCAGTCAAAGATTAAAATGGAATTATATCATTCTAAAGTACAAAATTGAGCATACCTATTAACAACATAACCTGACATCACAATATTAGACCGTTTTCTAAACCAACTACCCAAATTTCCAAGATGTGCTCCTGTCAAAAAACCTGAGTTTAAGGTAGAAACAAAATGTAGCACTATTATAGCATTAACACATCATATAATAAGAGAAGACATAAAAATAGATGGTGATGGTCCTCATATCAAATACCAATTGAGGCCATGCTCTCACAATCTGTCAACAAGTTCATTTTGGTCCAGAGTCAGTCAGCCAAACCAGACCCACTGATCCTATGTTCAAAGTATGTTTCGGAAATGACTTCAAAAAAACACGTCTTTGATGGCTAGAATAGAGCTCAAAATTACCATAAACCTAGAAATCTAACAGAAAATTAAGAAATGATGAAGCAAAAGGTTTAAATCTATTGGTTTTCCGCAACCACTGGAATGAAAGAAGGAACATAAGCTCATCAGAACAAGCTCCAAAAGTGATTCATCTTCATAAGTTTATTGATACTACAGTGAACATATTGAACTAATTTCGCAATGAATACAAAAAAAGGCAAGAAAATACGCTGAAAGGGAAATGGTACATGTAGATTAAAACCAATCACATGAAAATCCAAGTTCATCATCATCACAAAAAAAAATCCAATCCTGAAGTCATCATCATCGAAAAAATTACACACAAACAACAACTCAACAATGCTCATCCTCTAATTACTTGCGATTGGCAGCAACAAATGGGTCTTCTTTGTTTGGTAAATTTGCATAAAAATCAAAGATTCAGAGCTAAGATGATAGAAAATAAGAAATGCCGAATTTCGACTTACATTACTTAGGCGGTGAATGGATCGCTCCACCACCAAGGAAACAGCAACAAAGACTGTCAAGACAGAAGCCACAGACCATGTTGGTGTTAACGCCAAAGACCGCATTTCTGCTCCATTTTCTGCCATTTCTCCAGATAATTTTCTTCTTACAAACTGTACACTCTAAATTCAATTGCTTCCTCAAATTCCCTGACTTTTAACTAATCTTCAGTGTTTTTTGTTGTATATATATTTGTATATTTTATAGTTTTGCCTTTTCATTTTATTGACATATATATATATATATATATATATATATATATATATATATTCATTTGAGTAAAAATGTGGTTTTTTTTAGAAAATTTTGTAATGAAAAAATGTTATACATTATCATATGAAATATTACAGATAAAAATAATTAAATTTATATCTTTTTTTAATATATAAATTAAATTTGTATGAAAGTCCATATGAATTATTTTCTTGCCCAAAGAAAAAATGCTAATGTTTCTCTCATTTGTTTTTTTTAACTTTCTTTCATTTTTTCCATCTTCATGGTCTCTATTCCAAGAAGTTTAGAATGATGTCTTCTAAATTACTTTTATAAACTCAGCTCTTCAGTATCCAAGAATAAAGCCCTACTAGTTGGATGCTATAGCTAAAACTATCGGGGCTTATCTAGTTATCTTGATTGAAATTGGTTGTGATTATTGAATTAAAAGTCTTGTTAACAAATATTCTAAACACATCTATATAGCAAAGCAGCTTGGTTTTTTGAAAAGTATTTTCAATTTAAGGTAAAGATGTTCTCTGTATTTAGTTAAGGGATTTAGGAAGTGATTTAGAAAGAAAAAAGAGAAAAAGTGTGAAATTAGATAAAATGTAAGAATGTTTTATTTATATTTTACCTATCTTTTCTTCTTCCGTTTCCAAATCTCTTAACCAAACAGCGTTTCTAATTGCCTAGCTTAATAGTGTCTTTTTGTTGAGAGATTTAATGGCAAACCCTTCACCATTGGATATGGAAAAATTATAGTTTGTTTCAAGGGTAAATACAAGTGGTGGTGCCCTGAATTGAATTTTATTGGCTAAAATACTTGAATCACTACGAGAAATTAGTCATTTAGAGACTAATATTTAGAGGCCAATTAAATTTAGTCTCTAAAAAGTCATCATTTAGGGACAAAAATGAATTAAAAAAAAAAAAGCAATACAAACAGTCCATATTACTTTTATGAGATAGATATACACCGTATTTGAACCATTTGATCCGTGCTTCTTTGATATGGTTGAGAACTGGGAACCAATATATTTGGTTGCTAATGTGTGAAGACTTTTAGAGACCAAATTTTGGTCGTCTCAATAATAGGCAAATAAAATCTCATCCTCTCGCACTAATTTGTCAAATGCATGCTCTCGATCTGTTCTCTCTTCTCTCTGTCTAGGGCTCTCTGTCTAAGACTCTAATGGAGATCTAAGATCTTGAGCTTCAATCGTCTAGGACTTCAATGGAGATCTAAGATCTTCAGCTTCAATCGATCTCATTTTCATGATGGATCTCATCTTCATGATCGATCTCATACTCCAACGCAGATCTATCTTCTCTCCCTCTTCGTTTCCGCACCAGCACCCCTTCTTGCTCAAGTCTCTGTGTGTGTGTGTGTAATGTATATATATATATATGGCAGAATTTTTTTAGTGTGCAGGTGTTTGGATCTGTGAACTGGAAGAGAAGATGAATCGGTGCAGGGATATTAGCGGGGCCTCAATTTCTGCATCTGACTCCATCTTCTTCCGTAAACCTTGATGAATCGGTGTTTTGTTTTATTTGTGTATCTTGAATCCCTCCGTAAACGACCAATTTAGACCTTCGAGATGGCATCTGAAGTATATGATCTAACTTTTTCTGTTTTTTCATTAATATATTGCATTTACATTAATTTTACTCTCAATTTCTGTATATAAAAAAAAAAAAAAAATCTGATTTCGTTGTTTTTATCGAATAAATTCCAGTCATCAAACTGAGATTTTGGACTCTAAAGCAAAGATGGAGCTTCTTGACATCATTCTAACCAAGGTATACACTCCTCCTCCATATGTATTTTCGACTCTAAAGCAAATATAATTTCTTTAGTTTGCTTCTTAAATTTGATGTGATTTTCTATTGTTTCAAATTTGCAACTATTCATGATTTCATTAATTTATTCATCGCATCAATGCCTTGTTGCTAAACTATTACGTGCAACTTTGCAGCTAGAGACTCATGGCTTTCATCTGATTCATGTTTGCAACTTATCTTTCTCTTTTAATGAGCATTGATTTTAGTTTATTTTCCTTTTTCTTTGGGGATTGGAACACATTGAGAACAAAAGATATCTGTAGTGTTGAATTAGTTCATTCATTTCTTTGTGATTTTATTATGTTGGAAGTTCTACATTTAAGTTAGTGTTGTTTCCTTCTCAAGTCTAGGTGCCCAAATTTATGAATTGAGGCAAAGGAACTGTAGAAAGATCTTTTTCCTTGTGTTTGTATTTGGGGAGTGGTGTGGGGGGCTAAATTTCTTAACAAAGTTGACTATTCAAACAAAAAGTGCTTCAAATGCGCAAATTATTTCTTGGCATGTGATCTACTTTAGCTTTTGCCAAAGTACTCTCTCTCATATTGTTAATTGAGAGAATTTTGAGCCTGATTTCTCTTGTTTTGTTTTCCAACTTCGTCAATTTAGTAAATAATTAACTTCTATACTACCGCATATAGGCATTTATTTTGTTGAGACTGCAGTTTGCTAGTGTCTTGAAGTGCATTTAGTGTACTTTTTAAAATTAGCTACTGCCTATGTAATTTAGTCTCATCAAGTATGACGAGATGTCCAAGGCAACATTGACATTCTACCTTATGAAAATCCTTTATTCCACGACTTCACCTTATTGATTATGCTTTGAACCAAGTTTCTGGAGTAATTGTAAATCTGAGGCATTGTTGGGTTGTGTCTCTTACTAATCCCTGTTGACCTTATATGCAGATGTTTGGTAACATTTGTTTCTGTTTATGTTTTCAAAACAACTGTGAACTGTAAATAACACATGTTTGACAACTGCATTCGTTTCCAAAAAAATGTTCGACAGATATGGAATTTTACAAAATATTAGGAAATAAAAAAGTGTTTTCACTTGATTTGAAAACAGGTTTTCATTTGCTCCTCCCTCCCTCACCACCTCCAGCACGCTCCCTCCAGCCACCTAATCCCACCTACCACCACCTTTGGCAGTCTCCCCACCCCTCTGGTGCCACTTCCAACACCCCCCACCCTGGTCCACCCCTTCCGAAAACTCACCAAACATGTTTTCTTGTTTTTGTTTGCTTTGAGAATATTTGCATGTACCAAACATGTGTTTTGTTTTTAGCAAAAATAAACATAAACATGATTTCTTTTTTTGTAAACAAAAACCAATAAATTGTGTGCTTCTATGTTTCCTCACCTAACCAAGTGCAAGTGGGAAATTCTAGACCAAGTATCACTATTAGACAAAATATCAGATAGGGATGGAGTGATTCCAACCAAGTTTTCCAGAGGATGGGATTGGATTTTTTTGACAAAAAATTCTTTCAATTTGAAAACAAAAGTTCATCTTGTTTATGTTGTTGCTTCTGTTTTTAGAATTTTAAATAAAATATTCTATAGAAGTATCCTGAACTTGTCCATAAGGTATCTGGTTGTATTCTAGCTGTATCTGTTTCCCTATTAAGTATATGAAAAACTAATTGGTTGATAGAACCCAAGGTGACAATTACTATGCTTTTCTCAATTTGTAAAACATGCATATTATGTTATTTCATGTTTTTGTTTTAAGCCTTGCTCTGTATTACTGAGCAATAGTTTAGGAGCTATGCATTATTGTATTTGCATGATGAAACCGAACTTTTTGGACCAAAGAGATGTGCTTCTTGATAACCGTTACATATGTTTTAGGAAATCGTGTGATTTAATGTGTGCATTTTGTGGCTGTTAGAAGTTATAAATTGTTGGGCTATGGACTTCAAGAAGTAAACAACTTAATAACAAAGGAAGCTTCTGAAAAAAATGAAGACCGTCTTCTCACAGTGTTACTATATTGTTTTTGTAATTCTTGTTTTATTTATATTAATATTTTTCGTTGAACAAGGGCCATAATTATTGTCTTTCCTCATGTAACCAGGTTCTATGCTGCAGAAGTTCTTTTCGCACTCGAGTATCTGCACATGTTGGGAGTTGTGTACTGCGACCTTAAACCAGAAAGTGTTCTTGTACGTGATGATGGCCACATAATGCTTTCAGACTTTGACCTTTCTCTAAGGGTCATAATGCTTTCAGTCCCTTTCTATGACACTCTTGGTGAGTAGTCTATTCAAATGCCATCTCACGTAATTCAGAGAGTCTAAAAGTTGAATTTGTGACCCTTCAAGAATTGTGGTTTTAATGTGTGTGCATTTGTTCTTTGTGCTGTCAGGTTGTATCGGAATTCGATTTCAAGGACTTAATTTCCTTTGTTAAGTCATGGAGAATGTGTGCTTTCCGTCATATTGCTACTGCTTTCAGGTTTTCCCATTTCAGCAAGTGCATCACTAGCGATGTTTTATCTTTGGAGATTTCCTTCTTGTTTCTTTTGTCAACTGCACTTAGTGAACAGTTTCTCTTGAATGAACAATACTGGAGGCCTAATGCAAAATTTTTTTGAGATAGGTGTTGGATCTTTAGTGCACATCTATGAGTAAGCTACATATTCACTTCTTTCTAAACCAACAAATTATTTGTTAAGCTTATTTTGACACTTTTTTTCTTACTTGTAGTGCATCGTTGATACACAACATCCATTGGTGATCCTTGGAAACTGTCTTTTGGGGTATGGCTTTACTTAAACATTGTTTTCATGCATATTCTTCAATTAATTTTTTTCCCCTTCAATGTGTTTCTATGAGATGGCAGTAACCTTCATCTTTGTTATATTGTTTTTGCTGACCACAGGGTTGAAGTCTGCAGACTTTGAACCAAGTTTCTGGAGTAACTGTAAATCTGAGGCATTGTTGGGTTGTGTCTCTTACTAATCCCTGTTGACCTTATATGCAGATGTTTGGTAACATTTGTTTATGTTTATGTTTTCAAAACAACTGTGAACTGTAAATAACACGTTTGACAACTGCTTTCGTTTCCAAAAAAAAATGTTCAACAGTTATGGAATTTTACAAAATATTAGGAAATAAAAAAGTGTTTTCACTTGATTTGAAAACAAGTTTTAATTTACAAAATATTAGGAAATCAAATATTGACATGGAAGATAGAGTTGCATACAAAATATCAGATGGGGATGGAGTGATTCTAACCAAGTTTTCCAGAGGATGGGACTGGATTTTTATGACAAAACATTCTTTCAATTTGAAAACAAAAGTTCGTCTTATTTATGTTGTTGCCTCTGTTTTTAGAATTTTAAATAAAAGATTTTATAGAAGTATCCTGAACTTGTCCATAAGGTATCTGGTTGTATTCTAGCTGTATCTGTTTCCCTATTAAGTATATGAAAAACTAATTGGTTGATAGAACCCAAGATGACAATTACTATGCTTTTCTCAATTTGTAAAACATGCATATTATGTTATTTCATGTTTTTGTTTTAAGCCTTGCTCTGTATTACTGAGCTATAGTTTAGGAGCTGTGCATTATTGTATTTGCATGATGAAACCAAACTTTTTGGACCAAAGAGATGTGCTTCTTGATAACCATTACATATGTTTTAGGAAATCGTGTGATTTAATGTGTGCATTTTGTGGCTGTTAGAAGTTATAAATTGTTGGGCTATGGACTTCAAGAAGCAAACAACTTAATAACAAAGGAAGCTTCTGAAAAAAATGAAGACCGTCTGCTCACAGTGTTACTATATTGTTTTTGTAATTCTTGTTTTATTTATATTAATATTTTCCGGTGAACAAGGGTCATAATTATTGTCTTTCCTCATGTAACCAGGTTCTGTGCTACAGAAGTTCTTTTCGCACTCGAGTATCTGCACATGTTGGGAGTTGTGTACTGCGACCTTAAACCAAAAAACGTTCTTGGACGTGATGACGGCCACATAATGCTTTCAGACTTTGACCTTTCTCTAAGGGTCATAATGCTTTCAGTCCCTTTGTATGACACTCTTGGTGAGTAATCTATTCAAATGCCATCTCACGTAATTCAGAGAGTCTAAAAGTTGAATTTGTGACCCTTCAAGAATTGTGGTTTTAATGTGTGTGCATTTGTTCTTTGTGCTGTCAGGTTGTATCGGAATTCGATTTCAAGGACTTAATTTCCTTTGTTAAGTCATGGAGAATGTGTGTTTTCCGTCGTATTGCTACTGCTTTCAGGTTTTCCCATTCCAGCAAGTGCATCACTAGCGGTGTTTTATCCTTGGAGATTTCCTTCTTGTTTCCTTTGTCAACTGCACTTAGTGAACAATTTCTCTTGAATGAACAATACTGGAGGCCTAATGCAAAAAAATTTTGAGATAGGTGTTGGATCTTTAGTGCACATCTATGAATAAGCTACATATTCACTTCTTTCTAAACCAACATTATTTGTTAAGCTTATTTTGACACATTTTTTTCTTACTTGAAGTGCATCGTTGATACACAACATCCATTGGTGATCCTTGGAAACTGTCTTTTGGGGTATGGCTTTACTTAAACATTGTTTTCATGCATATTCTTCAATTAATTTTTTTCCCCTTCAATGTGTTTCTATGAGATGGCAGTAACCTTCATCTTTGTTATATTGTTTTTGCTGACCACAGGGTTGAAGTTTGCAAACACTAAATGATATTTTCTTAAGTAGTTTGTATTAGATAAGCCTGTTGCACTGAATCCGTGCAGAGTTTTGTAGTTCTTATTGATATTTTTTTTCTTCTCTCCTGATGACTGCTGGTTAGAGTGCCAACATAAACAGTAACTGAAGATTCTGAAAGAGATTTTACATACTATAACTGAGGTAGCTGTCATCTTGTTTAGTAATATTTCAGTAATCTTGTTCGTTTATGTAATCTTGTTTAGTAATATTTCAGTAATTTAGTTTGTTTAAATTTTTGTAAAATTTTACTTTCTATGTACTTGGTAGTTTGGGAATAGAATGCTTTGATGTGTGAATGTCAATTTTTATTTTCTTTTTATTTTTATAATTTTATGGTTGGATGATAAATTTAATTTTTGTGAATTTTTAGCTATCAAATTAAATGGTTATAAAATGTTTTTAAACTGACTTTTAGTGACGAAAATATATGGTAGAGAGTCATTTATCCTTTAGCGACCAAAAATAATTGTTGTTAAAAATGTCACTATTTTGTATTTTGTGACCAAATAGGAACATTTTGTGACGAAGTATTAGCGACGAAATGTTTTAGTTTTGTAAAATCAAACATTTTGTGGCAGTATAAAATTGGTCGCCAATTGTCATTTTTAGCGACGTTTTTGAAAATTGGTCGCTAAAAACTTTTCTGGACACACTTTTAGTGACGTTTTTGGTGACGAATATAATTTTGTCACAAAAAGTATTTAGAGACTAAAGTAATGGTTTTAGGGACTAAAATAATTGCTCACTAAAAGTCTTAGATGTTGTAGTGTTATGAAGTTTTATATTAAGGTGCTCAAGTCATAGGTCCAAATTTAAATTTCATTCGTCCAAAGGTTCACTTGCGAAACTATTCTGTCAATAAGGACGCGATTAAGTCCATAAGGACACAAACCCACTTCTTTCTTTCTCTCTCTATCTGTCCCTATGATGATAACTCCCAAGCTCTGCTTTTCCTCCGCATATTTGGTTTCTTAATTCATCACCACCATTATCATCATCTGCAATGCCACCACCATCATCATCTTCTTCTCATTCTCTGACCTTCTCACCACAACCTCCGTCACTACACAAAACCAGGGAGAACAGGTCCGGTTTATGGGTTCATCACCACCACCATCATCATCTTCAACACCACCACCTCTACTATCATCTTCTACTCCTTCTACGACCTCCTCACCACAACCTTTATCGTCGCATAAAACCAGAGAGAGTAGATCTGGTTTTTGGGTTCATCACTACCATCATCGTCTTTTTTTCCTTCTCTGACCTCCTCACCACCACCTTCGTTGCTCCACAAAACAAGAGAGAGTTTGAATCTACCATGAAAGTGGCAGTACTTGAGATCACTAACTATCACAGTATTTTTAGTAGATCGCCATTCATGAACTTGCCGTTTCATAAGCTTCAAAGTGCTAATTTGATAAAGAAAGAGGGTGGTCTCGTATATGTGCTTCCTAACTTTCTCTAAAACCTTTAATTTCTATGAATAGATAGTGGGTTTGTAGAGAGAGAGAGAGAGTTAGGTTTTTAACAGATAAAAAAAATTGGCAGATAGGACCTCTATATATAGCTATATGTATGCATGCGAATTTCAATATATAGAAATAAAAATTGAACAGATATAGAAAAAACAAGCTTGATGAATTTCAACATATAGGAAAAAATAGAGTAAGTAAATTTCAACAAATAGGAAAAAAATTGGCTAAGTTAATTTCAATAGATAGATTCAAATTTGAACAGATAAGTTCAAAAATTGAATAGATAAAAAAAAGATTTGAACAAATAAGTTAAAATAAAACTTTCAATAGATAAGTAGTAAATGCCTTTTTTTTTTTTTTTTTGATCGGCAAAAAAGAAACTAGATTGATGTGAGAATCAAGTACAAAGTAAAAACAAATACCATCAACAAAGAAAAGGGAAGTGCAAAAGCATCACACTGAGCTAAATCATCCCAACCAGGTTGGTACCAAAAAGTCCATCCTATCATTTGCTAGCACCCCCAAAGTTGGTGAGAGACTGACAAACTCAGCCACCAAACTAGCCAACATAACAAACAGAACAAAAATAGACCACTAGCAGACCAACATAGCACAACTAGCTAAGCAACCAAGAAGTAAAACACCTAGACTTAGCAGCAAACACACCAACACAGCAGCAACCATGCTCAGACCACCCTCATCCATCTCTGCTGATAGCATATGTAACGCCCTCAAAATTAACCCATTATATATCATTGACATGCATTATTTAAAGAAGACAATTTATTAATTCATTCATCAGAGTATTACTAAATAAAGCATTACATGAAACATCGAATAAAATGCCCCACAGGCTTACATCTTTCCAAGTCAACACTTGGATACAAAAATATGAGTTCTAACTCAATACAAGAAAAGCCCTAGGCTTGAATGTTTACATGTACTAATAATTAAAGACAATTAACTAAAGGTAGTCTTCTTCAATCCAAAAGAAGCAACTGTGCGCCCTCACACAACTCGATCACCAGAATTTTTGGACCTCAAAGTAAATTTTGGCATTGGGTCAAAGTCCAATTTTGCCGAAAATGTAGTCATTGGCTTGTTTTTTAGAAGTGTAATTTAATCCTTCATTTATTCTTACTTTATTCATTATGGATGTTATTGTAAACAACACATGCTAAGGATACATGATTTATGCAAATCCCCCCCCCCCCCCAAAAAAAAAAAATCAGTTTGAAGAAACTCAAAAAATTTGGAAAAAGCTTAAATTAAAATAATTGACAAAAAATTTATATAATCATTTAGTAGGAACGACAAACTCTAAACCTTAAGAGCACACTGCTCATTTTCACAAGTATAGATTATGCATGTTTCAAAATGTACACAGTTCCCAGTGCTTTGCTTTACATATGCTACAAAACAAACTTTAAAAGAAATGGTTCATACCACTTGTCGTGCATTTTCATGTCCCTTCCCTACATCCTGTCCTGTTTCGTGAGATTTTGCCTTTGCCTTTGCCTTTGCCTTTTCCTTTTTCTTTTCCTTTCAAAAAATAAATAAAAAATATTAATAAAAAAAATGATTAGCAAATAAATTTGATTAGTAGGCTTACCCAACAAATGCAGAGGATATTAAGGTCCTGCTCATCACAACACGGACATTTCTTTTTCGAAGAAACTTGACCTGTGTATATATAGAAAGACATTTGTAAGCTAAAAAAAAATTAATATAAGAAAATGTAGATTAAATAAAAACAAGTATAAGAATCTAATATTACCGTTTTCTTCAACATATCATCCACCTGTATAATATAATAAAAATACATTTGGTTATGTGAAAAATTAGATATAACAACTAAAGATTTGGCTTCAATTCAAAAAATAAAATTTAAGGAAAAAAAAAAAAAGAAGCTTACATAACCAAAGATGATGATACTGTCCATGATTTGAATTAATTTGAAAACGAAGGTTACTTAGGAAATTGAGGCACCACAAACCTGCAATGAAGAAATCACTCATTTTAAAGAAAAAAGAAAGTCGTAGGGAGTGCCTTCCAATTTGAAAAGAAATAAATAAAGTGTTGTCAAATTATTGTGTATCAGCAAATGTGATGGATTCAAGTATTTTAGCCAATAAAATTCAATTCAGGGCACCACCACTTGTATTTACCCTTGAAACAAACTATAATTTTTCCATATCCAATGGTGAAGGGTTTGCCATTAAATCTCTCAACAAAAAGACACTATTAAGCTGGACAATTAGAAACGCTGTATTTGGTTAAGAGATTTGGAAACGGAAGAAGAAAACATGGCTAAAATATAAATAAAACATTCTTACATTTTATCTAATTTCACACTTTTTCTCTTTTTTCTTTCTAAATCACTTCCCAAATCCCTTAACTAAATACAGAGAACATCTTTACCTTAAATTGAAAATACTTTTCAAAAAACCAAGCTGCTTTGCTATATAGATGTGTTTAGAATATTTGTTAACAAGACTTTTAATTCAATAATCACAACCAATTTCAATCAAGATAACTAGATAAGCCCTGATAGTTTTAGCTATAGCATCCAACTAGTAGGGCTTTATTCTTGGATACTGAAGAGCTGAGTTTATAATAGTAATTTAGAAGACATCATTCTAAACTTCTTGGAATAGAGACCATGAAGATGGAAAAAATGAAAGAAAGTTAAAAAAAACAAATGAGAGAAACATTAGCATTTTTTCTTTGGGCAAGAAAATAATTCATATGGACTTTCATACAAATTTAATTTATATATTAAAAAAAGATATAAATTTAATTATTTTTATCTGTAATATTTCATATGATAATGTATAACATTTTTTCATTACAAAATTTTCTAAAAAAAACCACATTTTTACTCAAATGAATATATATATATTTATGTCAATTAAATGTCAAGGCAAAACTATAAAATCTACAAATATAAATACCACCAAAAACTCAACAAAAATAATACACAAACTCAACCAAAGCCCAACAGAAAAAATGGGATTTGTCTGTTGGTTTTTCCCAGTAACCCTGTTTCAAATGGGAGACAGAAAAAATTCAAATCAACAGCAAAAATTCATCTAAAATAATAGACTTTACCTCACTCTCCCCACCCTCACTTCCGAACCCGCTGTTCACAAAACTCAAATCAACAGCAAAATTCATCTAAAATAAAACAGTATCCACTTCATATAAAATATATGAAATCTTTTAATATTCAGACATACAGTTGACATGTTGATAAGCTGTACGATAATTCTCGCTATGTCTAAAATAATTATCAGCTTTTTTCGTTTTGAAAGAAAAAATCACTTTCATGGTAGATAACATGCACGTTGGCGGCACTGGTAAACTGGGCGTTCAATGATATAAGTTTCAATATGGAAAAAACAAAAACTAAACAACTTTTAAGAGAGTAAACACATGAAGAAGTTTTTGAGGAAAATCATACTTCGTTACAACACGGAGAAGATGATGAGTTGAGAGAGAGAGAGAGAGAGAGAGAGAGAGAGAGAGTTGGGGGTTCAAGTTTTCACTTTATAGTAGTTTGAAGTTTAGATCTGAGATTGTAACCAGTTATGATTTGTAAAGGAGACACACAACTAAATATAGCCGGTATAATTGCTTTTTAAATGGGTGATGCTATTTAAATTAAAAAATTAAATCTATTTTTTAAATTTAATGATGGGATAGTCTATTTAAATATTTAAGACGATTCTTTCTTTTACGTCTTCTTTAATTATCAAACAATTATCTTATTTATACATTTTTTAGCCTGGAAAGTAGATCAACCTTTATAGAATTAAATTTTAACTATACAAAA